CAATGAGTTGGTGAATGGAATGCAGCCCCTGGGTCGAAGTTATCCCCAAGGAGATTGCGCGCTCTATGTCTTGCTCAGTAATACTGAATAAAGGCATCTTTTCCACACACACAAAAAAAAAAGAACGGGATCACTATCTCGAGGAAATTTTTGGGCTTGACGCACGGGTAAAACCCAGTAAAATAATGACCCCATTTCTGAGTTTTCTTATTTTTAGTTTTGATCCAAATTGTGGAAAGAGAGGAAAGACATTTTTATTTCACATTTCCACGCGAAACAAACGCCTAGGGGCCCCAGAACCAGCTCGTCTAGATTTCTTGCCAGCCCAGTTCGAACACGGACCCGTGCAGGCCTCGATACGTTGGGCCTTCTGTTCCCAAGTCTGGGGCTTGACAGCCCAGCCACGACCTCCACGCGTCGTGCCCGGGTCCGACCAAGCATAAAAGGCACGGGTCACGGATTAGCTTGTGTTTTTTTTTAACTCTAATCGTATTAAAATTTGACATAGAGAAATATGATTTGATTAGAGTTAAAAAAATTAAAAATCCCTTAAGGGGCTAATCTGGGTCTGATATCTTCATATAGGGGCTGTTTGGTTAGTTTCCTTGATATAGGGAAATGTAATTCCATGTAAAGAAATATAAGTTTTGAGTTTTCCAAATTTTAACAAGAAATAGATTGTTTTGCTTTGGTTCGCACATAAAAAATGGTGAGAAACCAATGTATTTATTTTTCTTGTGTTTGGTTCGCATAGAAAAAAAGGAAAACTTTTGTAAACAAAGCAGAGAAGGAAAAAAATCTGACGTGGCAGAGTTTTCATCAATTTCACTCGGTTGGGGAAGGAAATCGGAGAGGGGAAAAAATCTGAGCTGGCGGCGATTTCAACAGAGTTTTCCCTCTTCCATCCGAGCGAACCAAAGCGGCACAAAGAAATGGACGGAAATAAAAAAAACTGACGTGGAGAGCTAAAAATCTGACGTGGAGGGGTTTTCTGAGTTTTCCACCCCTTATAATAGCGAACCAAAAAGCCCCATAACATAAAATAGGGGAAATTAGGTACAACTGTCTCTATAGAGTTTGTTATATTTGCTTGTTTGGTCTCTCTTATTCAAAACTAAAAAGCCATTCAGATTAATTAAAAGATCCTAAATTATTTTAGGTACGCTCGAGTATTGAACCTAATCAAATGAAAAGTCCTACATTTCTAATCAGTGGCCGTAATAATAATAACATTTTCAATTTCTATAAGTTAAATTATATACAATTGAAAGTTAATAACTTGTTGGGGGTTTGCAACTTTTATCAAAGACATGGCAATTCTAGTACTTTTAATTTGTTTTCTTTTAATCCAATGTATAGCTAATTGTCTTTTTATTTATGCTCCTCTAAGCCACTGCATAACTCTCTGACTGTTTCATTGCTTGCTCAACCGAGGCAAACTCCATTATGTGGATGCCCTTAGCTAACACCATGCCAGGTTCTGAGTCCAACCAAAAACAAGCTATAGGACTTGATTCACACAGATAATCCTACAGGAGTTTTATTGCTGTTTTTTTAAAACTAGGTTTAGGCTTCTGCAGCTGGCTGACTGTAGAGGTGGGCCAGACCAGGTCAGCCCGGCCCTTGGGTGGGGCCAGAGCTCGGCCATGCCTAACTAAACCAGGCCTATCTCTTTATTCCGCGTGGGAAGCTCGACCCAGCTCGGCCTAAGAACTGAGTATAAACCGGGTTGTGTTACATTTGACACATTACGAGCCGAGCCTTTTCATGATCCATGGCGGTTTGGGCTGGGTCGATTCGCGGACTAACTTTTCTCACACCCACTCCTACAGACGCCCTAAAGCTTTTCTAGGAAATCGTTAGAAATGCTCGAAAATGAGTTTTTAGCATCGCTTTTCATTTCTTTTTTTTATGGAATGAACCAAAGAGGTGCTTATAAAAAAACAGACACACGTATCAAGAGATTGACAGAAGGATGATGCACCAAACCGAATAATAAACAAGTTGAGTACTATAAAAAAAAGGAGAAGTAAAGTTGTGGTTCATTAAGGGCGTGTTTGGTTCGCTGTTTTGAACCGAAGAAACACTTTTCTCCTCCTGACACCCGCTCCACATCGACAAAACCCTTTCTAGGGTTTTCGTTTCTCGTCTTTGGTTCGCTTCTCCCCCTCGTCCCTCCAGCCGCGGAAATCCCCTCCACATCGGCATTTTTTCTTCGCCCCATTTCCTTCAAAAATGAGAGGAAATCGCCCCGATCTGTACGATTGTCAGATCTCGGGTAAATGGGCGGAATCACAGGTGAGGGCTAGGGTTACCTCCTCTTTCGATTTGTTAAAAATTTTGTATGATTTGAATTATTAGGATGAAATTTTGCATTTTCTATAGTTATCTAGAAATTAACAGAAATTTATCTAAAAATATAATTGTAATTAACTAAAAATATTCCTTCAAATATTATTATAATTAAGTAAAAATTATATTAATTATTATAAATATAATTGAAAAGAGAACAGAAATGAACTGACAATTATCTTGAATGGTCGTAAAAGAAACTGAAAATATTGATGAAATATTAACTGAAAATTAACTTTAGATCTTGTTATGTGTCATTTAAGTTTTGATTATTGACATTGCATGTGAATGCTTGGTAGGTATATTAATTATTTCAATTTGATTTTTGCATCGTAGATGGATGGTGATGGGGATTGTACCGATGAACAAAGTGTTGTTAATGTGGTTCAAGGTGCAGCACTATATGTTCTTGTTATAATAATTACATTCATAAGGAGAATGCAAGCTAGACGTAAATCTATACGTCGTGGTCCAAGTGAGGAAAAAAAAAGACAAGAGAGGTCTAGAATTGAACATATAGAGCGTATTTATAATGGTTTTAGTGATAGTTGTGTGAATTATATTAGAATGCGGAGTGGTGCTTTTGTTAAGCTAGTAAGTATAATGAGGAACAATATGCTTCTAAAAGACTCAAAGAATATATCAGTGGAAGAACAACTTATCATGAAGTGTGTAAATATGCATTGGACCGAGAAGTTATCCACGGTCATATATGCTCATTTACAAGATTTTAGTGTTGAAAAGCTAGATACATACTACCGACACTTATATTTGAATGAGCATGAAGCAAGACTATTTATGGGCATATCATCGGTTGGTCAAAAAGAGATGATTGCTACCTTTCTCAACGAAGGGGGTTGAAGACCGATAGAAGAAGTCTCTACGTGGTATTTTGTGATTCTCATTTCTAACATACTTGTGAAATCCACTTACTTTTGGTGATAATGTTTTTATTGTGTTTGTGGAACATTATGATGATGGAACATATTGTTGTAATATGTAGTAAGTATTTATTTGCTTCCATTTTGTAATATTTATCTTCCATGATTAATATCATTTTGTGGAATACTAACTTTTGTAATTGAATTTGTGAATGCAGGATATTTCCTAAGATGCAAGCAACCTACAATGTGTACACATTGTACTGGATGGCTATTGCTCTGGGGCATTTAGGTATTTGGTTTTCGTTGGTGATTTTTTTATTTTTAGGCTATGATGATTGTCAATTTTTCTGAGATTAGCAACCTGCAATATCTATTGATATTGCATTGGATGGCTAACAATGATGATATTGACCAAGTTCTGAGCCCTAAGCTAAACACAACATGTGCTCAGTCTATGTTGGTAGTTGTTGTTGTTGCTGGTTGCTGGTTCTTCTGATTTGGTTGTTGCTGGTTAGTTTGGTTGTTGCTGGTTTTTGCCGGTTGCTGGTTGGTGGTTTCTTGTTGTTGCTGGTTGCTGGTTAGTTTGGTTGTTGGGCCTGAATGTTTCTTGTTGTTGCTGGTTGTTGGTTAGTTTGTTGTTGTGTCCAGGTTTGTGACAACTTCCAGTTTTGTGCACACCAGTTTTGTGAGCTCACTGTTTGTGGATGCTCTGTTGTTCATCTTCTATTTGAGCTAATGTTTTGTGGAGTTCTATGTGTGCTCAGATTTTCCGTACTATTTGTTGATTTTGATACTGTTTGTGGGTGTTCAATTTAGGCTATGATGATTGTTAATTTTTCTGAGATTAGCAACCTGCAATATCTATTGATATTGCACCGGATGGCTAACGATGATGATATTGAACAAGTTCTGAGCCCACAGTCATAATTCACATATACTGGATGGCTATTTGCTATGTTATGTACTAAAATATGGCTATTCAGGCCGTTTATATGTTTTTATAGGTTTCAGAAATTTTTTTGGCTAATTCAGGTACGTATTTCATAAATTTATGAATAATCAGGTTATTACAGGTCTTGTTTATTTTTTCTTCGAAAACAGGTTTTGTGTGATTATTTTCATCTCAAACAGGTATATTTCATGTCAAATCAGGTACGCAGTTCATGTTACAGTAGGTTTCAGATGATTTCAGGTTTCGTATGATTTCATTAATACAAACAGAAATTTATAATTCATTCGGGTTATTAATATTTGTTCATGATACATTCGCACTTTTATATGATTAAGATTACATCTCATAACTAGCACAAATAATTTTTGTCTATAGTGGGGGGTAATCTTACCATGGTGACTCTAAACACTTTTCCATACACACTTCAAAACCAACCAAACACAAGAAAAGTGGGAAATGTCAAATCAACATAAGTTTTCCCTTTTTTTCTCTTGCAAACCAAACACAAGAAAAGTAAAAACATTGGTTTCTCACCATTTTTTTGTGCGAACCAAACCAAAACAAACTATTTCTTGGAAAAGTTTGGAAAACTAAAAACATTGGTTTCTTTACTTGGAATTACATTTCCCTATATCTAGGAAACGAACCAAACAGCCCCTAAAACGAGAGGCGAAGAGGTGGTCCCTTGGAAGAAAATGGTGTGAGGTTTAAAGAATTGAGACTAAAATGTTCAGTTAAATTTTATTCAGAAAACCAGAGACACATTTAACTGGGCCAAGTCTACCTAATTCAATTCTAGGCCCATTCTAAGCCCATCATGTTAAGACCAGTAGAGCCAATCTCCACCGTCCGATCCTAACAACATCACGCCATATAAACCATACTCACCCACGCCTAGGGTTCCTCTGCCTCTCTCGACTCTCTTCCCGTTTCGGCTTCCGATTTCTCTCTCGATCTCAGTCTCTTCCCTCCGCCATGGTAAATAAAAGATAAAAGATAAAAATAAAAACTAGGGTTTTTAAAAATTAACAAAATTTGTTTCATCTAATCTTTCTTTTTTCCTTGTTTCAGATCATCGAGAAGAAGAACCGCAATGAAATCTGCAAGTATCTCTTCCAAGGTATCTTCTAAAACCCTAGGGCCTTCAATTTCAGCTGTAAAACCCTAGATAATGATTTGCTTAATGATTAATTTAATTTGTATTGATGGATGCGCCAACTGTGGATGGCCTTTCCATCAAAATTGTAGAACACAAGTATGGAAAATGATCGGTTATATTTACGGTTTGCTTTCGATTATCACTTGACTTCAACGGTTGAATCAGTGGATATCCAGAAAAAATTTCTTTAGGGGTGCGGATGACAAGTATCTATTTACCCAAAAAAAAAACAAATTTGTCCACAAATGCGCTAAATTTCCAACTTGAATGGGCTGAAGTTTTTTAAATTGTGGGGAGCAAACTGTAGATTTAGAAGGTTTTAATTGTAATTTTTCCACAATCTTGGTGTTGCAACTGTCCCTATAAGATGTAATGTGCATAGTCCCCTGCATTAAATCGTTTATAAATACAGAAACCCTTACTATTGTTCCTTTTTTTAGAGTGTGTTTTTAAGCGAAGAAAGATTACAATCCGATGATAACAACCAAGAGCATAGCTTACTCACAGCACTGTCTCATTAATTTGATTGATTCAATATACATTGGTGAACTTCTTTCCATCAAATTCCAAAGTTTTTTATAATCAAAATTGTAACATACAAATATGTAGACAGATGTAACTGAAATTTACGATTACAGAGTAATGTCAATCCTTTAGATTGGTGAGATCCTTGACAAAGAATTTATATACAAAATCGCTTAATGTGCTTCTTTCTTGTTGAACTTGGGGGTTTTTGTACACTGGAGAAGTATTACAACAGCAGAGAAAAATTAATGATCGATTCAATGCTCATTGGTGGATGAACTATATATGATATTTCCCTCGTGTTCCAAGCCTTTTTTTTCACTGAAATTGAAGCATAAAAATACAAATGTAACTGGATTTACAATTAGCTTTCCTTTATAATATATAAATGACATCAATGGTCAAACATTTAGATTGGATTAACTTTAAATTGTAGATCGAAGAAACTTTATACATAAACTCTAACTATTACTTATTTTGTTGAATTTAGAGGGGGTTTTGTATGCCAAGAAAGACTACAACCTTGCAAAGCACCCATTAATCGATGTCCCCAATCTTCAAGTAATCAAGTTGATGCAGAGCTTTAAATCTCGAGAGTACGTGAGAGAGACATTTGCATGGGAACACTATTATTGGTACCTCACTAATGATGGTATTGAGTACCTCCGGACTTATTTGAACCTTCCATCAGAAATCGTTCCTGCCACTCTGAAGAAGGCTCAGAAGGCGCCTGCTCGGCCTTTTGGGTCTGGTCCTCCTGGTGATCGCCCCAGGTTAGAAATTTATTTTTTAAGCATTTTGTTTCGTTTTGATACTTTGCTGCTTATAATTGTGGGTGATTGTTAATTTAATTTATAGTTTCCTGTTTAATTTAAGAAGGGTTTATTTCACTAAACTATGTTAACACTGGTAACAGTTGATTGTATTCTTTTCTGTAGGTTTGAAATTCCATTGTAGATTTCTCTTTTACAAAAACGTTTGTGGTAAATTTGTGTAAAACGCCCTAAAATTCATGGCCATTTTATGAAATTTTCCCTAGAAATAAAAATTTCAGGACTTGAGAAACTTGGCCTTCTGTAGTGAATAAGAACTTGTATAGCAAATATGACACTTTTGTAAGTCTTTGGAGCTTTTATTATTTTGTGTTTGTGGGTAAACAAATAGTAGTACATATTTGTTTGTGGTAGTCATTGGGACAGTGCTTAAAGAACATTGAGGGGCTTTTTTTTGTTCATGAGCCTTTTTTCTTGAAAATAAAAGGAGGAGAAAATATGTATACTACTACTTTTCACCTGTTTAACATATTTGATATTGTGTGTGGACATGCTCGCAAGTATATAAAAAATGCTGATAGTGTGCTGTGGTATTTTAGAAAGTTCTAATGACAGCGATTGTTATCAGTTGTTTTAAATAGTTTTATCAAATTTTGTTGCATATGTCTGCTTGTGTATTTCTACTTGACTTAATTGAATTTATATTGGTAGGGGTCCACGCTTCGAAGGTGACCGCCCAAGGTATGGAGACAGAGATGGTTACAGGGGAGGTCCACGTGGTGGCCCTGGTGATTTTGGTGGTGACAAGGGTGGTGCTCCTGCTGAGTATAATCCATCATTCAGGGTATGTGCTCCATTTATATACTTCTGTGCCACTTATTAATAATTAACTGTAACTATTATACAATTTTTACAATCTGGGCAATGAATGGGTTCTAGAACGAGGTTATTGCTATATATCTTGTTTTGATTAAAATTGAAATTGTGTCTTGTAATGTTAATAACACCATTATCCTGTCTACAAATGATTGATAAGCAAAGTTATTCATTTTTTTCCTGTTTATTGCTGATAAATGAACCAGGTGATGAGAATGGTTTTAAATCTCATGACGGTCATCTGAGATACTCTTTAGGGGTGTCCATGTTGATGTACCACCAATATCTGATGGTTTTGATTACCCCCCGTTTTCAATCACCTCCTGCTTTCTTGCATGCTAATGACTCAAATTCTAGTTTTCTTTTGTTTCTTTGTTTATAATGAGCCAAGTGATGTGAATGGTTTTCTAATCTCACAACGGTCATCTGAGACCTTTCGATGGTCTACATTGATGCATCGCCAATAGTCTGATGGTTCTTCTCTCTTCTTGATGTGTCACCAATATCTGATGGTTTTGATTTCGTCCCCTTTGACAATCACCCTCTGCTTTCTGGGACATTAACAACCTAAATGCTACTTTTTTGCTTGTTTCTTTGTTATTGATGGGCCAAGTGATGTGAATGGTTTTCTATTATCACAACGGTCATCTGAGACATTTTATTGGTCAATATTGATGTTTCACCAATAATCTGATGGTCCTTTCTATCTTCTTCTGAAAGTTTGATTCTTTTTAAATGCTTTTGGCAATAAAATTTTTGAAATATTGTCTTAGATGTTAGATAGCACGTATAAAGATGGTATTATAACCGGAACAATTTTTTTCACTTACGGCGCGTTTGGTTCAAATTTTTTTCATGGTATTATAAACATTTTTTTTTCAAATTTTTTTCATTGTATTATAAAAAAAAATTCAACTTTTTTTCAAAAATTTCAAATTTCAAATATGGCGTTTTGGGGAGAAAGCTGCCATATTGCTGACAATATGACAGCTTTCCCCTCCCTTTTCCATGAAAAAATCATGAACCAAACGCGCCCTTAATGTCTAATAGTTGCATGTGAAGTACTCTTGTCCTTTCTCTTATCTCTATAAAAAGAATCATAATCTATGTCATTTTACTCGTAATGCTAATTGGATAGACGGTACCAATTAATAAACAAGTTTTTAATTGATGCTTCATTCAAGAAATTATTCAACTCGAAAGACGAAATGAGTGACCTGCGCCTCATATCTTAAATCATTTGCCGTGAGGATGCTGCCATCACATCAAACCGTACTGCTTGCTTTATCTATTTGATAATGATATCCAATGGACCATTTAACGAATTTCTTTTCAGTTTAATAAACATGAAGTAATAAAAACTTTGTATATCATTCTTTAATACCAAATTTCAGGCTTTCTACCTTGTTTCTCTTTGAAGTGACTTGCTTTTCTAAAATACAATGTCCTTATCTTATGGATCCAATTTTTGGAATCATGTGCAGGGTTCTGGTGGCAGGCCTGGGTTTGGCCGTGGTGGTGGTGGTTTTGGTGGTCCTTCGCCGTCTATGGAGTAGATTTGTGTGTTGCGTCTCTTTATGCTTCCTTTCAGAACTTTGTACTAGGGAACTGCTCATTTTTGTGTTTCTTCAGAAGTATTGTCTAGTTTATCCTGCAAACGTGTTTGATTATGCTTTGCCATGAGCTGAACCTTTTTTAAGTTTATTATAGCTGTTAACCTTCGTAATGATGATTAACGGTGGATCTTGGTTACATGGTTAGTATTATGGGTTTCTGAGCATTTGTTGAAAATATGGCATTGATACGTTAAGTGTGTCTCTTTTATCTTATTTCTTCTATAAATGATTATATGAAAAATGATTTCGTAGAAGTGCTCTCGCTACATGCATGGTGTTTCTTGCCATTTATTTTTGTTGAAGTTTGTTTGGTTTTAATGTCAAGATATTTAACATTCTGTATAACAAAGTCAGCGGATGACGGTCGCTGCTTCTGCCATTTAGTCTCAACAACAGTCCCGCATTGCTTTGAGATCTGACACCTCACTTGTCCTCTTAGGGGTTCCCTATTTTGGGTACCTATAGCAACACCAAAACTCCTTAAGGACCCCAAAATAGGGGACAGGTGAGGTGTCAGCCCCTGGGGGCTTGATGCACTGTTCATGAACAGTGCATCAAGCCCCCAGGGGCTGACACCTCACCTGTCCCCTTAGGAGTCCCCTACTTTGGGTCTCTGTAGCAACATCCGGAAAACTCCTTAGGGAACCCAAAATAGAGGACCCCTGAGGGGACAGGTGATGTGTCAGTCCCTGGGGGCACGAACAGTGCATCAAGCCCTCAGGGGCTGACATATCACTTGTCCCCTCAGGGGTTTCCTATTTTGGGTCCTTGTAGCAACACCCTTTTTTTAATCTGCTACTATGTGCCCCTCGTTCAAGTGGACAGTTTCAAAACATTTTGGGCTGTTCTGCGTTCCGTTTGATTGTAGGGGGAGTTCGGCACCAGGAAGCAAATAGAAAGTGGACCTAAAATGGAGAAGTGGCCACACTGTTTTTTCCCCACTTGGCATTTGGAAGGTGAATAGAAAGTGAATCATGCCACGTTAGCATTTTCATTTTCTCCAAAATTGTAAGAGGTCCACTTTGATGGAAAGTGGAGAGAGAAGGGAGAAAATATATATTTTTAGATTTTCACATATTATTTTTGGTTTTATTTGTCTTTTTTTCACCGTTCCTTTT